ACTTAATGAGTAAAAAAGGAAAACAGGGAGAAAGGAAAACATAAAAATGAAAATTATACTAATGTATTGCTACAAATTAAACAGAATTTCTGCCGATGTTCGCCGCATATTGGCTTTTTACATTTACAACAATATGTAGTAATATACCTTCGTTTAAAATATGAACAAGAACAATATTTTTTAGGCGCTTTCTTTGCATATTGATGAGCTTGTGTTCCTTCTTGTATGACTTCGTAATCTTTATGAACGCTTTCGTCACTTATGACATTTTCTATTATTGAACATAAATACTTTGGCATAGTTGGAGTTTTAAGTTTATTTATATGCCATTCTCCAGTAAGCTGTCGATGTAGATTTAACATATATTGCAATCTTGATGATGGCTTAGCAGAATTTTGTTTAGTGTAGAAGTTGTAAGTATATGTTATATACGAATTGATGCATGCCATATTTAGCATATTATAAAGAAAACATAAAGGCCATCTACGTGTTTTTGTTCCACAATTACTATGGTGACACATTTAATCGAAAGTATCAACGGCTCCTTTTGATTTGTTATAGTCACATACAACTTGAGTTGTCAAAGTTTTATCATCAATTGATGGTTCTTGATATGCCGATGATAAAAGCAGCATGAATTTGTCTACTTTTTGTTTATATGATAGTGCGATTAAATCCTTATGAAATAAAAAAAGCAAAGTTCCTATGTAGAGACATTAGGTATTTTTTTTTTAAAGCAGGAAAGATGAAAAATGAGAAACGCCTTCGCCGGGAATCGAACCACGGACCTCTGGAATACGCGCCCAGCGTGCAGCCCACCACACCTTAAAGGCATGCTAGGAAAGCGGGAGAAATATCTTATATACTCCTACTTTTAAAGAGCGACTGGGGTTTTATGAGAACCCAATTGCCAAATCCTGCATGTGGAGAATTATTATCCACTACCCTTTTAGTTTGGAGGCCACTGTAGACATTAGGTATATTTTTGGAAGCAGGAAATTGAACCACAGACCTCTAGAATACACGCCCACCACACCACGAAGGCATGCTAGAAAGGCGGGAGAAATACCTTATACCTGGAGCCTTTTGTAGAAATTTTATATCAACATATTCTTCTGGAAATTCACTTTTGTTCTTTTTTACAGTACCTATTACAGTCAAATGATCTTCATTTAGAAGTGATTGAACTAATGGTACATTTGTAAAGCAGTTATCCATACTTATATTTCTGTATGAATTTCTTAAAGTTTTAATTAATTTTTTTTTATGAAATAATCAGCAACTGGTTGCTTATTTGGGGCAGTTCCTTTACCCAAATAAGAAATTGCATCAATCATATATTTTGTAGTACTATCACACATCATCACTAATATAAGTCCATATTTATCTGGTTTGGAAGGGATATACATCTTAAATGGACAATTTCCTCTAAATCAATATTAATTTGTTGTTTTATTCATTTTTTCAAGAAGCAAATTTTGAACACACATGAAACATTTTATTTAAAACCACTCAGCAGCATATGCGATTTCTTCTCTTCTTTTGGCCATTTGTTCTCGTATATAAATTGTATTTTAAACTGCTTTAGGTATATTTTAATTAATTTAAGAGTTTAATGTTTGTTCAAGCACTATTTCAATAATGCTACAGTCAAGAATTTTATCATTTTTACTACACCGCCTCTTTCTGTACGTATCTTGCGACAAATGATTACAATTTTTGAAGCAGCATAGCAAATGAAATATTTGCCAAGCTCAATACAGTCAAAAGTCGTTAATCTGGACGTCCATAATCTCGAATGATCTATAATCCGGGCCTCAAAGCTTAAAACATTCTGCACATGCTCATATGCATTTACGCATGCGCGTTTAATGTATAACGGACGGTATAAGCTAAGATAAAATTATCTAATTATCTATTTCGGTTAATAGTGCAGATTGCATTGTTCCTTAATGTGTGAATTGGATTCGGCTTATTATTTTTTGCAGACTGTTATAGCAATTTTATAAAAGTAAGCTTTGAACTTTCGATTTATGTCAAAAGAATTTCCGATTCTGGAGCTGCCAAAGGATCTAGAAGGCGAAAGCACGTTTCGATGTCCATCAAACAAAAAGTGGAATTGCTGCAAAAAAATGGATAAAGGCATATCCTTTGTTTTTCGAACCATTCCGAAATCTGTTTATCAATTTCACGTTGCTCTGCGGGGGGGGGGGGGGACATCAATGAAGTGGATGTTGATCTGACAGCACTATCCTTATCTTCAGGGCAGATGTTTTTATTTTATTCAGCTTATAATTCCTTACTAAATGTAGTATTTCATCTCGATGTACTCCGTCTTTGATATGATTTAAATCAAATTCCTCATCATTATAAATATAACGAATACACATCAAATAGTTTTCTGGTTGCAATTTTCTAATTTCGACTATGCATATTGTATGCTTTACGCATGCACACGTTGAAAGAAATGTTTAATAAAGTAAACAAATAAAGATTAAGCTTTTTTTTTTTTTTTTTTGGTAAATTTTGACACCCTTTAGATCATACTTGCTCTTTATTTCATAAATTATAAATTACGGTTTCATATTTTTAATTTTATAATTTCTGCATGCCATCTTACCAGATTTAAATTGATGATCTACAATCCGGAAAAACCGATAATGCGGAAAAAACGATAATCCGGAATCGTGCAAGTCCCGACAAGTCCGGATTAAAGACTTTTGACTTTATATGTATATAAACTTGTCAGTTTAAAGAAGAAAAAAAATTCCTAACTTTGTATTTAAATAAATTAGTTTATACACACAAACAGAGTTTACTGATAGCTGCATTCATATTTAATTAAACTGATTTTTTTATAAGTTACTGAAAAAATTCAGAAGTAAAAAAAAAATTAAGCACTGAAGGTGTATAGCACTTAAAAAGCTGTTAAAATTTTTAAAAGCATTTTTATACAATTTGTTATCATCAGATCATTTCAAAATTTCTTTTCAGTGTAGTAAGAGTATTAATGTATTTTTCTAGTAAAAAATTGAAAAATCAGTAATTTCGTCAATTTTGGGGTACCAAGTCCTGTTAAAAATTCATACACATTCCTAGTAGCACTGATTGTATCTTTTCATGTATTCTTTAGCTAAAGGGCTTGCAGACCCCACAATATTACAATATTTCATCTACAATCTGAAAATATATTCTTGTCCAACTGAATGCTAATCTCTAATATACACATAACTTTTCATTTTCACAGACTTACGATTACTATCGATGCATTTATTCATAATTATTAAATTAACTTACAATTATTATTACAAGTGTACTTCATACACACATAGCAATGCCTTGCAGTGTAATTTGGCTTTGGTCAGCCCAAATTCACTATTTAAAAATTTTTTAAAAAGGGAATTAAATTTTAATCAACATTTAAAATGGTTGGTTTAATCCTAGTATCCGGTGCACACGGGATTTGGCTAGTTTTGGCGACTTTAGGATGAGCAGTAAAAACTGGACATATACGATGAGTAGTAAATGGGTCATTCAAAGAATATATATCGTCGTATACATAGATCTACTCATCATATGCATAGTATATACTACGGTTATAGTGTATAGTATATACATAGATGTTGTTGTTTGGGTCATTTTTGGTGTTGGCGATAATTTTCAAAATCGCGCCAAGGCTGCACCGTATACTAGGATTTTACCAAATGGTTTGATTGTTTTTCCCCTTTCTAAAGGTCACTCTTTTTATGCAGTTTCTGGGATTTTCCTTTACATGAACAGATCATTCATTCTGGAGCTAACAGCTATCATTAAAGGAGGTGGAATCATTAATAACCAAGCAAAAATTAAACAGCAACTTGGTTTCAATAAGATTATGTCAACATAATTCACACATGAATCATGTCAAACCCTAATGAATTAAATAATGAAACCTATGTTAACACAGATTAACTATGAGCTTATAGAGAATATGAGGACAACTTAGATAATGATGAATGTTATTTGAAGTGCCTAATTGAAAATTAACAGCTGAGTAACCACAAAAATTATTGAATGCTGAAACATTTTCTCAGCATATTATGGAAGTTAATATTAAACGTAGACTTACAATTTGCCATTAGATAAAAAATGCAATTCCCTGCAATAAACACATGCATAAAAATGCTAGAGAAGAAAAATGTTCATACATCGATACTGCAACATTGAGAGGGAGAAAAAATCATACATTTTTTTTTAATTGCTTCTAGGATTAATTTTTGTTATGTATTTGGTACCTCGATTATTTCGGCTGAATAAATTACCTAAGCTATGAGAAGTGCTGCTAAACTTATTTATTATATTTTACCACAATATTACTCAGCCTTTCCCCCCCCCCGATTATTGTATGTTAACAACTATATGTATATATATATCAGTCGCAATGCTAAGTAGTTTGGTAACAAATTAGGAAAAAAACTATAAATTTTGAACGGCATTTGCTTTCTCGAAGCAACCGTAACAAGTGAATATTGAAACATTCTTAGAAAATTTTATTAAGAATTCAAATAAACGATTTAAATGTTGCCTATACCTCCAAATCAAGTTACAAACCGCTTACATAGTAACTATAGTAAACGATTTTCTTTATTCTCTCACTAGTAAACAAAGAATTTTAAAAAATGACCTTACCTCCTAAATTAAAAGACGGTATTTTTGGAAACATTTTTATTACAAAATGATGCAAAGGTAACTTACATGCTTCTGAAAAAAGCGCATGCTACAGTTTTACTTTAACGCATGCAAAATTTTTTATATTATTTCAGAAATTAAAAGAGACCGAGTTTCAAAAAAGAAAAGACTTTTGCTAGACACTACGACATCACCTACAATGCTTCGATCATTTATGTCGACCTAACAGAGTTCCTAGCTGTGAAACAACAACGTGAGAGTAAGTAAATAAACCGATACACAATTAAATCTATTTGATGATGAAAATCATAACATATATAACCTCAACTTACCTTTTAATGGCACATCGGGAACGACGCCATGTTGAATTTCCAAATAACACTGTCAAAAAATTCAATATATTAATTATGAAAGTTTACACCCTTACAATTTAAAATCGAAAATGCCATAATATTTGAAAACAGAACACAACAACAGAAAACCGTATATATGTTCATAATACTTACATCAAATTACATTGTTTAGCAGAATACATAAATCTACCAAAAAACGTCTATATAATTATACATATTCTTTGGCTCTCTACTTCCTCAACGACAACGCACTTGTTGCCACCTTCAGCAAAAATATCGTCACCCGAAATTGAGTCAAAGTTATGTTTTCGGTATCAAAATTTTACATTTCTTTTAAACTTTTTCGTTTTTTCTTAGTATATTTATTTAGTAAGAAAGCATGTAATCTCAAGATAAACTACTTTTTTCATACCAGCTACTTTATCCTAGTTTTAATTCTTACCTAAGTATCAGTTATTTTCGATTTTATTTACTAGTGATGCATATTTATTTGAAGCATATTGATTTTTTTAACTATTTATATCATAAGAAGTTAACAGACAGCTAAAGAACATAATATACTGTTTCAGTTTTTAGTCTATTTTCAACAAGGAGGTTAGAATAGAAGGAGGGAAGGTTCAACTCAAACGGTGAAGCTTAGCGGCCATCTTCCTGTTATCACCGTGACTTGTGCAAGGAAGTCTGTCATTGCAACATTTTTTTTTTCTTTTCTTTTTGAAGCATGTCAGCTTGTGTTGCATATGGGTGCACAAATAGATTCTCGAAAAAAATTGCTGGGCGTTATTTTTCACACGTAAGTATTGATTTTCTTTTTTTATGTAATACGACAACTATGTCAAAAAATATCACGTCATGTTGTTTTCTTTCCAGATGTGAAAAAAAAGGGACTTAAATAATCAAAATAGGTTACGTAATATAACTATAATCAAAATATGTTAAATACATTTCAATGTTTCTGTTTATAGCTGGTATCTTCGTTACTTAAGATACAATGCTATATGGTAGGATTTAAATTGTATAATTTGAACGTTTTAGTTAATTCGTTTTATAACTTTCATTAAAAATAAGAAATCAATTGTTACTATTATTATTAATTGTAAAGGTGTTAAATAAAGCAATGCTTTTCTTTATATATTAATTATTATTCATTTTTTTAAGTTAAGATAAACTGTTCTGTTATTAAAAATTTTTTGCATAAACTTACAAATTTCTGGGCAGTATAGTGATAAAATTAAATAAAATATTTACACAATTGAACATGTGGAAAGATGTATCCAAAAACTTATATAGGTGTATTTCTGTAATTTAACTAATTAAGGCAGTTTTCTTTGAGATTAATAAATATGAAATGCGCATAAACTGAATCAATGAATTCACATAAATCTGTTTTATTTTATTAAGATTTATTTTCTAACCTAAGCAAGTCGTGAAATATGCAAAACATCATTTTTTAAAGGCTTTAGTTTATGCGCATGCATTAGATTTCGAACTATTTCTAATAATTTGCTGTACATAGTAAATTATGGATATCATCTTTATTACTTTAAAACGAAAATTCAACAATAGCAGGGATTTCATTATAATTTAACATATTTTTACTGGAAAATAAATGCCGGAACAGTTAGAAACACGTACATGTCACTGCCGTAATGCAATGTTTTGAAGTCACAAACATGGACGCCGCTTGTTCGGCGGAGTTTCATTCCCCGATAGTGGAGGAAACCGCGAACCCTCCCTCCTTCCATTCTAACCTCCTTGATTTTCAACTGTTCTGTGGAAAAAAACGCAACCTTGTGTATGTGTGTGCGCGCGCGCGTGGTATTTTCTTTTTTTTTTTAATGATAAAATAACTCTGTGTAAAAAGTTTTTTATGTTTAATTGCATGTTTGTAAGAAATTTGCTGTAGCAAAACAGCTATCGCTCTAGACTTATCGCTCTATGACTCTATGACCTATCGCTCTATAACCATAAGTGTCGTCTGCTTTGAATAAGAAGCGGGAAATACTACCGTGATAAATTGAAATCTATCAAAAAAAATTGCTGAAAGTTTCCACTATCTTATAAATTGTTACCTAACTTCAGAATATGCGTGCCAATTTAAAAATGTAAAGATTAAGTTTTTGTTTTTTGCTGAATGATTATCATAGTCTGTGCGAAAGAATGTCATGTCTTATTAATGCTACAAATGTCAAAAGTGAGTGCTTATGTGTAATATTCTGTATGTTTCTGCGTTTCAAAATTCTGAAATATTTAAAGTATTAAGTTATTAAATTTTATGTATCATCTTCTGGGATATGTTTTAAATTCTGTAAATGCTGTGTTTTGGGTATTATAAACTTTATTTTTCTCTCTTTGGCATTTTTTTTTTTTTTTTTTTTTTTTTATAATATTGTTTCTGTTTTGTGGTTCCAGATCATTTTAGAACTTCTGAAGTTCCAATACACACGAATAGAACTCACAGAAATTAAAATATGGTACTATTTTTATTATTTTGGAAATATCCTAATAATGAGGATCATCTTCTGTCACATAGTATAATTTCTTGAATTTAATTTTGTATTCCTTTAATCTAAGAGTTTGCCATCTGTTCTAAGTAGTACAAGAAAAATATCAGGAAGATTTTCCTCACTTTGAATATGAAGCTTTTAAATGGAAGGTTGAATTCAAGTCAGGAAGGAATAGATTATGAGGCTTTTCATTATGTGTTATTTGGTCAGGACTGTGTGCTGCTTTTAGACTTTTTAGGAAAAAAATTAGTGACTTATAAACGGCAGCGAGATTTTTAAGGTTTATTGAGTAAAGTATTTCTTTCAGAAGTCATATGAGAGAGGGGGGAAAAAATTATGTGATTACTTTTTGGATATTGTGAAGGGTATTTAATGTGAAGCATTTAAAATTTCAGTTTAGAAAATGTTTTTTTAAATACGTGAATAATAGTCTAAATGTTATTTTTATATAAAGCAAAACTAGGATATTTATATAAGAAAAATAGGTTTGAATAGTAGTTTGAATGGTTGATCAAAATTTATACATTGTGCAAGTAATCAGTATGTTTAAGAACATTAGCCATATTCTATGCTCTTTCATTGCATAAAATAATTTTGGTGAGTCTGATCACCAAAATTCCTCGAATTGTAGCAATAGACCAACTGTTTTTGTAACCACATTTTAAATTTCATGTTAAAGGTTACAAGATATCATTTTCTAATTTTGCTGACTAGGTACAGTGGCCGCTTTTGCAAAGAATTACCTAACCCCTTAATGCACCAATAAAAATTCAGAAAGGTTTTTATTATTATTATTATTATTATTATCATTATTCTTTTTTTAATTTTGGGTTACTCTTTGGGTTGTTTCTACACACATACACACATGTGCTGAAATTCCATTAACATGCAATTCGGGCTGTATTGCCAAAGTAAAAACTGCTGGAATAACTGGCCTTAATTCTGAATTTTTGTTTACAATTTTGGAAGCACTTCCGCAGAGAACCCGGTAAATGTAAACATCACTAATTTTGGTGATAATAGTTCAAACCTGGTAACCCAGCGCATTCATCCTATTCGCTTGTTTGAAGGTTGCAACCATTCCAAAAATTCAGAAAAAATAACGTTTACGATTAGCCGCGAGCTTGGCGAGTAAAAATGCAAGGGCGCCAACAGGTTCTTTCCTGAAACGGTTCTCTGCAGATGCAAACCCACAATTTTGCTTGTAAAGAAAATATTATAAATGATCTGATAATAACCGGCTCTACCTTAATTCTGTTTTCATTTACTGAGAGAAAATGTTCCAGATCTTTTAGGCATGCATAGATTTGTCCAAGCTCTGTCTCTGTTTATATTTCTGTAATTAATCTTTCATTCAAATCTAAGATCACAGAGTTAAGAGGTTACAATTCATTTTATTTCTATTTTCATCAGTACTAATTCTACGTAATGTGATCATATTTTCTTTTCTCTAGCCTGTGTTTAAATATGAGATTATATTCTTGCAATTTTAATGCCCTAGGTGTTAACATTTTTGCATTTAACTTTGTCAGGGCTGTGTGGTCTGTGAATATTTTAATGGGTTTCTCCGAGAGACTGAATTTTTTAATTGCACATAGATGTGCTCATGCATCCCTCTTAGTCACTAAATAATTATTAATGTTAATAACTGTTTGACAGTTCTTTATAAAAATTCATGTGAATACAGTCCAAGAAACAAAGCTGGCTTTTTGGCAGAGTTATATGTCAAAAAGTTTATAATCCACTCTCTGTTCTTTTGGGAAAAACTACAGGTAAAAATACCTCTATTTAGCCAGTATTTATTTTTCAACTTTTGACTTTATATTTCACGGCCAATTCAAAAAGCTCATTTAAATGGTTTTGGATTTCTAATTTCAATAAAACCTTGAATTTTCGGCAAGAAATAGTAAAAGCACTATTTCTAGGATTTTATGTTCATCCTATCTGCCTAAAACAAGTTTCAAATTCCAATTTTTCTTATAATAAATTTTGTCAGGTCTTTGCTCTCCATTAGAAATTTAGGAACTACTCTTATATATGCCCTCGCTTGGCGGCAAATTTCTCGCCAAGTATTTTTGGCGAGAAACTCCATGGTGCCATTTTACTATCTAAATTTTTGTCTACATTTTGAATTTTAAGCCTAAAATGTCTCCAAAAAGGTGTTTTTCGCACATGCAAAAACCACATTTTGAACACAGAATTTAAGCTAAAAATTCAAAACAAAAAATTTATATAGCAAAAATGTCAAGTTTCTAACCAAAAACATTTGACAAGAATCCATGTACAGAGCAATATGTTTTAACTTGAAAAAAACACCACAGAATTGCACAATCTATGCAGCGAAGGAATTTACAAACTACCTAGCGTAAACACCTAGCGTAAATAAATTAAAATAACAACAATAAATTTCAAAGAATACGATGTACACAGCATTCTTTTTAAACTTAAAAAAACATCTACAAATTGCATAATCTAGGCAGTGAAAGAATCTACAAACCACGCATGCCTCGCTTTAATAAATTATCATAACAACAATAAATTTCAAAGAATACCATGTACACAGCATTCCCTAATTAAATAATTCATTCTTACCCCTCAGTAAGTATATAAAATAGCCGTTCCTGAAATGTTATTCTGTACTAATCATGTTTGACATTAAAAAGGTTAAAGATGTGAATGAAAAATAATGTCTTGTTATTCACTAAAAGTAAGCATTATTTTATGTATGAAGGTTAATTTAAAAAAAATAATGATGTTATTACATTTATTTAATTATCATAATGAGTAGATGCTTTTGTTATTATTGTTTATGATCTAAAATTGTGTATAATATGTAAATAAATACCTAAACTGAGATTAAAAATTACTTTAAAAAAAGCTGAGGAAGAAGTTTTAATAATCATTAATTGAAATTATTATAAAAAATAGCTCACTAATAATTTTAGATATAAATATAAGCTAGGGATGTGAGAGTTCAGAGATTAAATAGATAAGGAATTAAAGAGCAGACAGAGATGGTGAAAAACTACCATATTTCCCCTCTCCCGAGATTGCACCAACAGCTAAGTGAATATTTTGCTGAACACTGGTAGTTCTACCTGGGTTCACTACCAGGTGAATGGGCTAGCTGCATGTGCAGTTTCATGATTTTTCCAATATGTAATGTGGTTACGAACCAGTTTCCGTTAGAAGATTCTGCACTAAAGCATCTCTCCCCTTAGAACAATAGCCCTAATATGCTTTTCCATAATCACATAAACCAAACCCATCTCACTGCCCCCTCTGGCATATGATACTGAGATAAAGAGGACAATAGAAGAAATGAGGAAAAGATACTCCTCCACAAGTAACAAGGGGGAAGGAGCATTCTAGCATTCTTTCTGTTATAGTGGCATTTTAACTGTTTTACCTATTTCATTAGTGTACTGAGAAATAAATGATCTTTTTCTTCTATCATCCTTTGAAATACTGTATTATACTGTTTATTCAGGGCTTAAATTCAACTGGAGCCCAGCTAAGATGTTTCTTATGAAATTTAATTCCAAATTCAACCTCAAATAAAATTAGATCCGATGTTTTACAGTCAAAAGTCTTTAATTCGGACGTCCATAATCCGGACCTCAAAACTACTAACATTCTGCGCATGCGTCTACATGTGCGCTTAATACCTTTACACATGTGCATATGTCTTTACGCATGCTTGTTTAATGTATAACGGATGGTATAAGCTAAGCTAAAATTATCTAATTATCTATTTCAGTTAATGTTGCAGATTGCGTTGTTCCTTAATCTTCAAATTGGATCCGGCTTATTATTTTTTGCAGACTGTTAGAGCAATTTTAAAAAGCTTGAACTTTTGATTATGTCAAAAGAATTTCCGATTCTGGAGCTGCCAAAGGATCTACAAAGCGAAAGCATGTCTCGATGTCCATCAAACAAAAAGTGGAATTGCTGCAAAAAATGGATAAAGGCATAACCTTTGTTTCTCTAACCGGTGTGGGGGGGAAGTCGCGGCGCGCAGTGAACTGGAAGTTGATCTGTCTGCAATATCCTTATCTTCAGGGCAGATGTTTTTATTTTATTCGGCTTAATTCCTTACTAAATGTAGTATTTCATCTCGATGTATGCCGTCTTTGATATGATTTAAATCAAATTCCTCATCATTATAAATATCATGAATACACATCAAATAGTTTTCTGGTTGCAATTTTCTAATTTCGACTATGCGTATTGTATGCTTTACGCATGCACACGTTAAAAGAAATGTTTAATAAAGTAAACAAATAAATATTAAGCTCTTCTTTTTTTAAGTAAATTTTTATACCCTATAGATCATAATTGCTCTTTATTTCATAAATTATGGTTTCATATTTTTAATTTTTATAATTTCTGCATGCCATCCTACCAGATTTAAACTGATGATCTATAATCCGGAAAAACCGATAATCCGGAATCTCTACTAGTCTCTACTAGTCCCGACTAGTCCGCATTAAAGACTTTTAACTGTATTTTGTTATTTAACATAAATATGATAATTTATTAAATTTTTTTATCTTGTTGCATTTTATTGAATTTTAATTATTTATTATTTTAATTGTTAATTTTATTAGTCCAAAGGGAGTTTGTCCCTGGAGGACTATTGTTTTCGTTTTGCAATTTTGCGTTGAATCGCTATAAATGTCCATTTCATTTTTCAAACTGTTGCCACCAAATGTTAGAGTCTTGCATTATATTTGAAGAAATTAAATACTGAAAAGTCTGCATAAATTTATGTCTATTTCTCGCATTGTGATAAAACAACGGTACCTAGAGCCACCAACTTTTCTATGACTTAATCCTACTACTAATATGGGGATCTGGAAACCCAAATTTGAAATTTGGAATTTTTTTATGATCGATTTCATATTTTGTAAACCTTTAACCAATTTTTGATTAACAAATTCAAAGATTTCAAAGCAAGTAATGGCAATGTTGTACAGAAAAAACATTTTTATCTCCTGTGCATGATCTAAGTAGCAGAAATTCTAAAGATATGCTCAATTTAAAATTATTCTGCAATATTGCTCTGGAACTGAATTTTATGGTTTAAGTACGAAGAACATGATACAGTCAAAAGTCGTTAATCTGGTCTCGTCGGGACTTTGGCGATTCCGGATTATTGATTTTTCCGGATTATAGATCATCAGTTTAAATCTGGTAAGATGGCATGCAGAAATTGTAAAATTAAAAATATGAAACCATAATTTATGAAATAAAGAACAATTATGATCTAAAGGGTATCAAAATTTACAAAAAAAAAAGCTTAATATTTATTTGTTTACTTTATTAAACATTTCTTTCGATGTAAGTTGTTTAGGTTGCTTCATTTTTTATGTGATAATACTTTCTGTTTAATTTTATAAACAGACATAATTTCTTGTTCAGTTACGAAATTCCGCTGTTCAAGTCCTGTAATTGCTGTGTCGAGAATACCGACTAATTTGTCAATTGAAATTTTTTCGTTTTCAATAACCTCTGTGTCACTTTCTTCGCTATCAGAAGCGAATTATAATGAGGAGGAATTTGATTTAAATCATATCAAAGACGGAGTACATCGAGATGAAATACTACATTTAGTAAGGAATTACAAGCCAAATAAAATAAAAACATCTGTCCTGAAGATAAGGATAGTGCTGACAGATCAACTTCCAATGAATTGCACGCCGTGGCGCCCCCCTTCCCTGCCGCAGAGCAGCGTGAATTTGATAAACAGATTTCGGAATGGTTAGATAAACAAAGGATATGCCTTTATCCATTTTTTGCAGCAATTCCACTTTTTGTTTAATGGACTTCGAAACATACTTTCGCTTTGTAGATCCTTTACATATTAGTAAATATATATCAGAAATTCTATTTGACATAATCGAAAGTTCAAGCTTACTTTTATAAAATTGCTCTAACAGTCTGCAAAAAATAATAGCCAGATCCAATTCGAAGATTAAGGAACAACGCAATCTGCAACATTAACTGAATTAGATAATTTTAGCTTAGCTTATACCGTCCGTTATACATTAAACGTGCATTCGTAAACGTATTTTGCGCATGTGCACACGCATATTCGCAGCTGTAAAGGTCTGCGACGCAATGCATGCGCAGAAAGTTTGTAGCTTTGAGGTCCGGATTATGGTTGTCCGAATTAATGACTTTTGACTGTATTTAATAAATAAAGGTAACACACAAAATGTTAAAAAACGCCCCTTTGGACATAATTTAAAACCTGAAATCCTTCAGATTTTTTTATTTATATTTTTTATTTTATATATATATATATGTTTTTTTTTTTTTTTTTTGTTTTTTTGTTTTCTTTTTTGATGGCCTTATGTGAAACTTTGGCACTTCCGATTTTAGAAATCAAGCCCTAATGTTTTCTGGTGGTTCAGTGATTTCTGATTATTTTAAATTGGCATCAAAAAGAAAAAAGTAAATGGATAAAGACTGGCTGTGTAATAGGAAAGTTTATGAGAAACCAATTTAAGTGTTTCATATGCTGTTTCTGTAATTTATGTATGTTCATTATCTAACTAAATAAAGAGAACTCTCTTTTTGTTCTATTTCTTGCTTTAGAGCACTGTGCCTCACTACAAGAAGTTTGGCGAGATCTCCGTCAATTTTTATGTTCGGCAAATTTTGTTGTTGAATACATTGTTTTACAAATATGTTGTTATATATGAAATGCCCCTTTTTCTTTTGAAATCTAATTTAAATATAGGCATTGGTATTCAAGTTGATACCATATAAAAGAACTCTTTTTATAATTTCACACGATTTTTTTTCCATTTATTTGGGTTTTCTACCTTGAATTGCATTTTTTTATACACTCAGTTATTCGAAATTTGGAATTTCTTGTACTATCTGGATAGTCAAACTTTTCCTGTACTTTTAATTTTTAATTTATATAGCTGATAATTTATGTGATTATTTGCAATATTATTTTAATTAATGAGATAGATGTAAAGTCATATATTAGGTATATAATACACAGTTGTTCAGTTTTATTTTTTTGTGTCAGGTTTAGAACTATTTTATTAAATTACTATATTTTTCAGAATTAAATTCAAATGATGGTTTTTAAAAAAGCAGCATTTGTTTAAAACTTAATATTAAAATTAAATCACATATAAAGAGAATCATTATTTTTTATAAACCAGAATAACTAAAAGATAACTATATAAAAACAGAATGGATTTAAAGGGATCTTTTCTTCACATCGATTTTTTTTTTTTTTTCAAGCCTTTCTTGTAGTGCACTAGTTTTATCAAGATAGAATTACAAATCATGAAACTTTTATGGGCAATAATTACTTTTAAAACAAGGATATTATTATAAAAAATAAAAGCAATACATTTAATTTAACCCTTTGACGCGCGTGATATTATTTTTATAATTTTTTTAACTAAAAACTCTAGAAATTGAATATTATGATCCTAGAGACAAATAATATATGAATTAAAAAAATCTACTCTTGACATTGTTCTGTGGGTGGTGGTCGCACAGTGAAACCACCGCACGTCTAGGACTTTGAAACTTACTGAGGTAGTAGGGAAAAAAAACCTACCTTTCTCCGTGCACGTTTCCAATAAATGACGAAATTTATGAATTTTTTTTTAAAAACGTATGTAGGAATTGCATAACATATTTTTGACATTTTTTTACATTATTTATTATGCGCGTTTCCAATAAATTTACGAATTTTAAAAAAATGTATGTAGGAATTGCATAATATTTAATTTTTTTACATTATTTTACAAAGTAAATCATCAGAAAAATTAAAAAATAAACGTTTTGTGTAATTTTTCTATAGCAGTGAAAATATAAGTACCTACATTATAAGGACGTTTGACTAAATGGATTAAAAAACTCAGTAAAATAAAGATTTAATTTTTTTTTTTTTTTTTTTTTTTTTTTTTTTTTAACTTCAAAGAGCAAATATTTTTTGTGACACTGTTCAAAGCATGTTTTGTCTTTTTGGTATATGCATAGACCCACCTTGTACGTTTCTCACATGTATCTTCTTGTATGAGGTTTCTTCCTTGTGCTACAAAATGTACACTGCCTGTATCTAAAATTCACTGGTATATGTCCAGTGTTATTTAATTTCTTTTCATTTGGCACATGAAATTTGTGGTATTTTTTATGTTAATGAGGGGGGGTTGGTCTTTCTGGCTTTGGGACGGATCATTCGTTTCCCATTCATACTTGTTTTATTCGTATTTCGTCCCAAAATATTCAGGAAATATTTTTAATTTAAATAAAACTTTACGCAATTTCTATTTTTAATTATAGCAAAGTATATTTACATTAAATATAAACCACAGGAAATGATTTATAAAATCACAATACTAGTTTGGGGAACAAGTGTGTTGAGGTGAGAGAAAAGTCTCTGGAAATGAAAGATCTTTTTACTGGGCAGGTGCATGTATTGTTTAGTAATAAAATAACTCTGTGGTTTCATACCCCCTTATCTGTATCCGGGTAAAAAATAAACATTCCTATTTGGGAAGCAAGCAAACGCCATTGTGAAGAGCAGAGCAGTGGTTTCAAGGCGCGACCACCGAGCCTTTAGAGCATTGTTAGTATTGTGACACAATGCTCTAGTGGTGCAGTGGTCGCGCCCTGAGACCACAAAGCAAATGCCATATATATAGAGGCTTTTTTTTATATATGTAGTTTGATTATTGCTATTTTTTATTGTTTATGATAGAAATCATGATGTGCGATGAATAACTTTTGAAATTTAAAGTTGTTTATATTAATAAAAGGAAGCTATTTTGTCTCATTGAAAACGAATTTTAAAAGGCATCCGATTTGAAGTACTAAGACCTAAAGCATGTAAGATTCTGCAGTCATTTTGTGTTATTTAGAGGTAAAAGATCAGTAATCAATTGATTTTCACTCAAAAATTTCGGAACGAAGAGGAGAAAAAAATTCGAAAATTCGTGGTTTCAGGGCGCGACCACCGCGCGTCAAAGGGTTAATGGTAGACAGTAGGCAACCTTGGTGCATATGTCTATTAAAAAAAATAGGGTGTTTTTTTTTGGGGGGGGGCTCGTATGTCTTGCGGTACAACAGGAAAGATCTCAAAATTGTTCCGGTGCTAAATATCATGTTATATACTGTAGTTAAATTTAATGAGATAAATCTTATTTTATGTATGCATTATATTTATTTATATACTGAGTTCAAATAGATAATAATTATCCAATGTAGTAAGCACCTATATTTTAATATTTTTTATTAAATTTGGTGATAGTTTTTGGAAAGGCTTTCCATGCTTTATCCAGGATTGCAGATGACTTATACATTGAAGCTTTACCATCAGGAGTAAGTATATTTATATATATTTTTTAAATAGTACCATTTGAAATTTATGTAATAGTTTTCATTTTGCATCTTTGAAATTATTTCTGCAAACTATTACAAATTTATTTTTGTCACCTTAGCTTGTTTTCCACACGGTGAATGCATCCAAATCTGCATATGCATGTTTCACTTTTAAACCTGAATTTTTCATAACATACAGAGATGATTTAATGGAAAAACGAAAAGTTTTAATAAAGGTAAATTTTCCTTTATTGAATTAGTAATATGTTTTCTGCAGATGTATTATTACTAGTTTAAATGCATTGTTTGTCCTTTAAGCAGAGTAAAAAGGATTCCTTTGGGGGAATGCGATATTTTCTTCGAAATCTCAGGTAGACAATAGTTTTAGTTCAAGGTGAATTGTGGATATTTGTTTTTTGTTATGCTTTTGGTGAGAAAGTGAATTTGGCAGATTTCTGCCAAATTGGCATCAGTGGCTGCAGTGCCATTTTAACAGTCATGCATTAGTAGTAAAATGTAACTTTATCTTGTAATTTTTTTAACACTTTCATTATGGATATTTCCTTTTTCCTGAAATAACTGAATGGCAGACTTTTCGTCATTTGGCAATTGTCAAATTATAAAATCCATCTTGGTTCCTTCTTAAAAAAAAATCATTGAGATCAAAATCCCTATGAGATTTTGATCTCAATGATTTTATGACTTGCCTGGATTGAAAAAATATGAGTAGCATTGTTTGGTGTGGTTCATAGATAAGGTTTCTGTCGTTGGTGCTCTTGTGCACATTTTTGCTGCTGTCTCATCAACAGAAAAATACTGAAATAATTTTTTAGAAATGCAGTGATAAATCATGTGTCTAATAGATTGGACTAGGAAAGGAAACCCTTTGAAAGGAAAGCTCTTTTGAAAAGTCTTTATGAACCCTTTGGAGGAGACTACCATAAGAGGACCACTTTTGAAAATGGCCAATATTTCTGAGAACATAAACAAACATAATGCGATCTCTATAACAGGACCATCTCTATAGACATTCAGAATCATGTAGGACTGTGGATGGTTATATTAGAGAGTTCATTGTAGTTTAAAAGTCTCACGTTCATTCATCCATCATCAGAAAAATAAAAGAATTGCTTGATGGAATAAAGAGGAACAGTTGTCAGCATCAGGACTGTTTCTAGTAGAATTTATGTAGCAGTAAAATATCTAGGTCCTTTTGATTGAAATTTCGCTGATTATAAAAATCTTCTAGTCTCTTAAATTTTAAATTGTTCTTTAATCCCACTGAATGTTAAACACTAAAAAAGTTAAAAACACATAAAAGTTTTTGTTCACTCTTTGTGATAAATTCACATATCTTCATTTTTTGTAGCTGTCCATATATTCTACAAATATTTTAATAACAGACATAAATAAATTGATTTGTTTCTAATTGCTTTTAAAGCTTTATTTTGCTTACTCTATTTTTTAATATGTCATCTTTAGTCAACTATTTATTGTTATGCAAAATCTGAGACTGTGTCATTATTTTGTCCCTTCTGTTGAGGGGAGGGGGAATTGATCATTTAAGATGGTGGCATTAAGTGAAAAGTACCATAAATTTTGATGATTTTTAACATAAACTATATTTTTTACATACAGGCATGTTTGATGGCTTTCCGTTCATTACCAAACCTGGAAAAAAATGTGGAAAAATGTTTATTTGATTTGAATAGTATGACAGATTTTTTGTTGCTGAAGTTTTTCTGTAAGCATGGTAAGCTAACTATTTCTGATTCTTTCTTATACGTTTACTCATTTTACTTGCACACAATTGTGTGTTTTGAAAATATTTTAATGAATGTCATTCTGTTCTTTGATGAATAACAGATAACTGAAATTATACTAGCAATATCTTTAACACAGAAAAATACTTGTAATATTGAGGGAAAATATTGTTTTTCTTTGTCAGTGTTCATTACTGATAGAGACCTTTTTTTATATCAAAGATAAAACACAGTTTATCTTTATGCTACTTAAGTTTGACAATTTGCATACAGGCCTTTTTATATTGAAGGAATTAAAACCTCTGTGATATTAGATATTTTCTGTTCATCAGATTTCATTGTATTTCCTGCATTTATGAGCATTTTTTATTCAGAAAATACGACCAGACATTTTGTAAAATGTAAATATTGTTACAGTAATTTTTTTTTAAGCAGATTAGCTTGTTTGCCTGACAATTTCCCAACACCATAATTGCTCAAGCCTATGATTCTCTTAATTTCATTTTCAGGGAGAGAAGGCATAAAGTTAGGATTACTGAAGTGTTCAGCTTCATCAGATATTCTAAAAGTAGAATCCCTTTTTACTAATCATAAAATGATTGACATGTGTATTTATACTTTTAATGATAATTTGTTAAAAAAATATTTTCTAAATTCCTATATCTTCTCTTAAAACAATAATCATATTTTAGTGTATAATTTCTAATGTATAATTACTCTGTTAACTATCATTTGGCTGTCGCCTCTGTGTTTTAAAATGGGCTGAAGATAGTTCAGCATTTGTTTTTTTTTTTTTTTTAACACTTTTTATATGCCATACATTGAAAATGTTCAATTTGCTCTTACAAGTTACCAGTTTCTAAAATTCTGTTGTCATATTTAGTAATCTTAGAGAACTCCAATTTTAATGCTTTTCATTTCTCAATTTGACAATGCTTTTCTCCATGTTGATAGATATTACAGTTGCTCCTGCAGACAATGAAACTATGTGGCTCTTAAGCTTGAGTTTGCTTTTCTTCAGAAATTTGTATAAAATAATTGGAAAAGAATAAACTTTGTGAATTAGTTAAGCTAAAATATCTCGCGTACTTTTGAACTCGTATATTTTTATAGTGTTTAGTAGTCAGCTTTCTTAAGCCCACTTTCTTAGTTCATGTTACTGTCATTCGATGATTTAGAAGGAAAATGGTTGTTTTGTGATTTAGAAAAACTGAATTTTAATTGTGCTATAATTTAAAAGTATCGAATCTATAAGTAATCTCTGGCCCCTTAAATATAATTTGCTTGCAACAAATAGTAATTTTATTTTGGAAATATAATTGAATTTTGAAACAGCATGTTTCTTTATCAAATAACATTTTATTTCTTAAATTGCAATGTATGTGTATCAATTTCAAACTGTCAATCTCTGCGTTGATAATAAAAGTAACATATCAAATGAGAGATAATTCTATTTCAGTAAATTACTATGATTGCCATTTTGCTCTTAGAACATTTAATCGCCATCAGCATAGTGCAAAAGACAAAGACCAATGTCTTTTTAAAAAATGCAGTCTATTTTTTCCTCTCGCATTTATTTTATTTTGGGCAGTTTTCTTTACTGTACTTCTATTTAGCCTCCTTGCTTCTAAATAGCCACTATATAATGTCTTAAAAGATTTGTTATTCCTTCTGGGAGACTATTTTTATTCAAATCTCATATGGTTTGCATAACTACTGCAGAGTTGCCAACGCTCCCATTTTCTGACCGTATTCCCACCAACTCGATTAACATATTTCTCTCAACTTTCTCTTATTCTTAAAATTCCCCACGATTTTTATATAGCTTGGCTTAATACTTCATTATTTGCCCACCAAAAAGTGATTTTTGGTGTCTGGAAGTATTTGATTTTCTCTAGATGCATATAAAAAAGAACTGAAGTCATTTCATCACCGAGATATGGCATGTTTCTGCTTTGTGTATGAGAATCCGAAACACATGTCCGAAAATGTTGTGTTCCAGTTCTCCAATGAGAATCAAGCGCTGCTGCGGATCATCTAGTATATATTAACAAATAAGCACAAAGCAAAATCAAGGTTCTTTATCGATTGATTGTTATTGATCAAGGAAGAAAGAGAAAATTAACCTAGCTATTTTATTCCCAACATTTGTGTATAATGGATTAAGGTGCGTATTTTGACATAATATTATCATGATAAACCAGGAGTAAGCTGATCAAAATGGAGGCTTATATTATGCCTTATGGAGGCTTTTACCTTACAATAGGTGCAGCCACATACCTTCATGCAAGCCTGGTACCAGATAGCAAGAGAAAGGAATGTTTTAATCAGTGGCCACCTGACTTTCTTCAGTCGATTTGTTATTGAGAAGAGTAATGGAATTGATTGGACTGTAATTACAATAATAAAATAATTAAAATGTAATTATTTTTCACTTTAATGGAATGTTAGAAATAATTACATACTAGCTATTCATAAACCACCATATTATTACAAGGATAATACTTTACTTGACCGGTAGAAATCGTTTAACAAACAAGAAAAGGGAACCATGAGTTATACAGAATGTTCAGTGATTGAATCAAGTTTACAGAAATTGAGTGTTTAAGAATTTTGCAGCCATCATGGCTCTATTTTTCTGCCAATAGAATTCAGCTATGGCTGATGAATTCCAATTTGTTCATTCAAATTTGAATTCTTGTTCTTTTTTACTTCAATGTACGAAGTAAAAAAAAGATATTGTAATTGCAAAAGATTTTTGGGCTCATATTTCAACAAAAATATCCATTTTGACCGCTATCAAATGCAATTTAAAAATGTTTTTGCATGACATCTGTCCTTAAGGACAGTATAAAGGGCTCTTTTCCCCAAAAAAATTTACAAAACTCATTTAAAATGAATTCTGAAAAGATTGTTTTGTGGCATCTCTCAATCTCGCATAACTCAAAAACGAGTAGCCTCAGAATGTTGGAATTTTGTATGTAGAACTTCTATAACATGTAGATGTGCACCTCGCATTTTGAATTGCAATCAGTCGCACCAAAAGTATATAAGTATATGTATATATATATAGAGAGAGAGAATTTGTTACTCGGTGAGCTGTTTCTTTACTCTTATATGTTTGTAAATTGTGCATTTTTTGCTTTAAAAATGGTTGAATTATGTTGTTCTGGTAAAGATTTTTATGCCTTTAGTTAATCTGCATGCAATAATTGTGGAATTATCAACAATAGAAAAGTTTTTTAAATACAGCTAAGCCTAATTTTTTATTATCATGGCGACCATGTTTGTTTACATTTGAAACAGCAGAATAGTGGATTTGTTGCCAATCTAGAGAAACTAAGTTTCGCAACAACAAAGATAACGCCTTTATTTATTATTGCAAATTAAATCATGCTTAATCCATTCTGGAATTTATTCGAGGAAATAAGTGTTTAAAATTTACTTCATAATTTTTAATATAGACATTTTGAGTTTTTATGTATTTTTGCTTTGTCGCGAAGTGAGAACTGAATTAATTGAATGACAAATACTGAATCGTCTGTGAAAAACTGTTTCTTTTTATTGTTTGTTTAATTTCTTTTATACATCATTTTAGATTTATTATAGTATTTGAACAGAACATATGGCAACGATTAGATAATTCTTCATATGATATAAATGTTGTGCATTATGAATTATAAAATGAATGAAAGTGAACCTAGCGCCAGAGTGTCACTATAGTAAACAAATATAATGAATTTTAAAGAGTGTGTTATTCTATTGTGGTTTATGCACTATTAATGAAGTAGATTTCATTCAATCCAATAAGTTTAAATGAAATGCAAGAAAAAATGCATATAATTTAATATTCCATACAAGGAAGTCATGTGGTGTACACATCAGATTTTTTCTTAAGAATGCCTCACTGTATTGGGAAAATGAACAATGGCTCAAAAGTTTTAATCATGCACTTCATTTATTTAATTTTATTTGTATCTTAATAAACATAGGTGCTTCACCAGTGGCCGACTGATTAAAACCACGGAATACTATTAAGTTAACATGGCTTGAGTTTGATCCCAGGTGAACAGGTTGGCTGCATGGTTTTTCCCACATGTAATATGAATATGAGTCAGTTTTCCTTAGAAAGATCTCCATAAAGGCATCCCTCCTCTTAAGCAGATAGTCCTTATGTCTTTGCCATGTTCAAATTACCTAATCTAAACATACCTTAATAAAATATATGTATTTAAAAAACTGCAGAATTGTTTTTTTAATTAAGTGTAAATTTCAAATTTTGCTTTTATTAAGAGTATTTAGTAGATTTGAAAGATCTGAGAACTATTTAAGTTCTGGATTTAGATTTGAGAAAGTTTATGATTCATATCACCTTTAGTATTTTTTAAATGCCTAATGAATGTTAATTAATATATTAACTTTAAATATGTTACTACACATTAAAAAATTGCCACAAGTAACTCTGTGATGCTACTTTGCCACATGAGGTAAAATAGCTAACCATAACTGAATACTCTATGTTTTTATGCAAAGAAACTCATGTTCTTTATAATAACCATGGCGATATAAAGTTTCAGTGCTAAAAACTGATTGGTTGAAAGGCGAACAGTCACTTTTTCAGAAGGAAGGAAAATAATCATGTGTTTTTCTTTGAATGATAAATAAAATAGATTTGTTTAAATGATTGGTTGTCTGAATCGAGAATTATGTGATAACACTTTAACAAATCTAAAAATAGACTTGAAACATTGACCTTCACAGTTAAAAGTTTTAGGAACTATAACTAGTACAACACGGTGTGAACAATATTCTTATAAACCCAAATGCAATAAAATTTATTTAAAAGAAAAAAAAAACTCTTCAGAAATGCAAATAATTTTATGTTGTAAAAATTTTGCACTAAACTTATGATGATAAAAATGGTTATGTACTATTTAAATTAAATTTCATATAATTTTCTTTAGGTATGGTGAAGGTGTATCAATTACATTTTATTGAAAATGAAACAGTCCAAGGATCCTTTCCTAAAACTGGCTTCCTTTGCAAGTTGACAGCTTCATCTAGGTAATCTTTTGTTAACTATTTTCCAAGTCATTCATTTATAAAAAATAGAAATAAAAAAAAAATTTTAAAAAAAGTTGTTGAAAACTTTAAATGTTTTCTAATTGCATTCATGTTTTTCATATTCATTATTTTAATAATCTCACATTCCTTAATATTTTTAGATTGCTTCATGATGGGATACAAAATTTCAGTAATTCTGTGGAAGAATTGACTTTAACGGTGTCTTCAAATAAAGTGTATCTTCGAAATTATGTTGATGATGAACCAGGTATTATATTGTTTTATAAAATTATTTATGTATGATCTTAAGTGACCAGTTGCAGATTCTCTGTCAATGCATGCAGCTCAGCATGGCTATTTTTTTTATGATTCCACTCCAAAACTATTAAACCGCTTTGATGAGCTTTTATGAACAAGGGAGGCTGCATCTCTCCCTTCAGGTTAAAACACATCGAGAATTGCAGTCAGGCTGTATCTGAACTTGTCAGTAAACAGTACACAGCCCTACTCTTCTTGGGTACTTTGACCATGGCTATGACAGCATCTTAAATGAACCCATTTTGAAGATAAAATGAATGCCACACAAACCGTCAATTTTCTTGCATAAGTTTAATCTTGTGAATCATTCATAATATAGTAAAATGGCTTGATTCAAGCTCTTGTGGAAGCCTAAATATCTAAAACCAACTATCTTGTAATTTTTCATCGAGTTATAGATAATTTAACATGCATATTTACAGCACTGAGCATTGACTGAAATCTTAAATAGTGATTTAATTTTGATGAGCAGTATACTGTAGGTGAAGCAAGTAAGGCAATGTATAATGCTGAATTATTCTATGACTGACCCTTCTTTTAATTTTTTCTCAAAAGTTTCTGTATGGTTATCATCAGCATCAAGCACATTTTTCAAGCATCTGGCAATAGAACAGTTATCTTTTTAAATTTTATTCAGGACAGCAGCATTAGGTTTTGACAAGGCTGCAGTAAATGTTTTACTTTTCTAATAATAATGATATTACTTATCACTTCAACCACTTGTAGTTCCATAGTTACAAGTAGCCTATCTAGCTATTACCCTTTTTACCTTTATACATTACATTAATTTTGTATCCTCAAAGCTTAAATGAATTTCTTCACAGCTGAAATTAGAGCATTTCAAACTGAGTCAATTTCCTCTCAAATCTAGTATATTCCTGATGAAAACCAGATTATTTGAACTCAAAGAAAATTAGAAGAAACTGAATATGAAGTTGATAAAAAACAACCAGTACATCTTTCTAAAAATTCCAGGTTTACTGAGTTTATTGTAAAGAGAGAATATAACAGTATCCTATATGCAGGAGTGGCTGTCTAATATATTGAAAATACACAGTAAAACCAGCAAAACAAATGAAAGCTCAGTTGCCTAGAACTCCACGTTTCTGTGTAATTGATGTGGTCTTCATTGGCCTTGCTTATGCAAATTTGTAAATGACGTCCAAAAATCATACATTGGATTGTTCACAAGCATTACATTTGAAACTCGTTTCCAGTATATGTTATTCAGACAACATATGCGCTGCCAAAAATTTGAAATATTTTACAGCATAATTAAAGGAGCAAATTTTCTAGCAAGAGAAGACTTGATCTGGAAATTTGCCATGGTGGGGATGGTTCCATGAATGCTTTGTAGAAAGCATTAAAGAGCCGCAGCATAAAATAATAGCATTCTGTTCTCAAACAATACAATTTCTTGGGAAAACAAGGACATATCTGATGACTTTTTTAATCAAAAATAACTAAAATTGAAAACTAGTCTTTTTTTTTTTTTCCCCCTGTACTTGTTGATGAGAGCACCAATATACACTGAGCTTTTTGAGATCAAGTCTTAATTTTTGTTTTACCTTAGTATATGTGAAGTTATATATTAATTCACTCTAAAATAGTTATAGATGTAATGTTTTACTGATGTGCAACACTATTTCAAGCATGCATAAGATTTTAGTGTGAGCCTGGATCTAATCAAGAGTCAATAAATTTATCAATTCACTCCCTCCCTTTTTTTTTAAATTTTTATTTCTGTTTTTGAAAAGCAATTTTCAAAGTAATAATGGCACATTGATAGCATTATGTTTTGGCTTAAAATATATGTGTCATTACTGAAGTTATTTGAAATAAATAATGCAATACTCAGTCTTTGTAAAATAATATTGCAGGAATACCGTGAGGGGGTCATAGGTCTGAAAGGGGAGATTTGGGATACAAAGTATGTGAAAGGAAAATGGCAGAAAACTGCTGATAATGCAATTAGATCAAAATGTCCAATTATGCAGTATTTAAAAAAATAAAAATGGCATAAATTAAAAGCTAATATGTGAATAGTTTGATGAAAGCAAGAAAAGACTGTACACCTTATTTCCATTTTAGTTTAAGCCCTCAAAATGTATAAAGCAATAATATCTAATGAATAAAACTGATATTACAATGTAGCCCAGAGAAGACATTACTATTCAAACTTTATAAAAATACACTGAATATATCTTATCATTTGATTTAGAGAAAAACTCTTTATTCACTTTCTAGATCCTAATAAAGTTGTACATACTGAGCTCACTTTAGAATCTGAAGAATTTGAATCCTTTGAAGTGGAGAAGGAAATGAAAATCACGTTTTGTCTAAAAGAGTTGAAAGTAAGAAATTCTATTTCATATGTTTCCCGTTTTGTTTCAGTCCCCCTCCGCTGACTGTGTAATGGTATTATTGATTTGTAAGTTTAATATTGCTGCTGTCCTTTACAGTTTTTAAGCTGACTTGTTCCTCCTGACTAATGTGTGTTATAGATTAGAATTAAATTGTAATGCACATAATAATAATAATAAAGGTTATCTAATTTTAGCATTTTAAGTAATAAAAGTAAAATATTAAAAGAAGTTTATAGGAAATATAAGTTTAATAATAAATAGCAATAAAGCCTTTTTTATCCAAATAATTAAATTAGAGTAATTTATGTAACAGGTATTTTGGGGGGTTAAACTTTACAGCCAAGCTAGTTTTCATAAAAAATGGAAATATTTCTGTTCTGTATGCTGTTTTCTATAGCATTGTTTTGTAAATATTTTGTTGAATATAAACTTGAAAATTTCACTTTCGGTTGTTTTATTTTCATTAATTTGCATAAAAGAAATAAGGTGTGCTAATAATTACGTAAATGTTAAATTTTTATTCTAGTTGTCATTTTTAAAATATTAAGCTTTATCTTAGCAAAAAAAAAGATGAAACTATGGAAATGTGTGATGAAAATCAGTAGGATTGTAATTGTAGATAAATACTAAAAAAAATAAATAAATAAATAAAATAATTTTATGTAAATCAGAAAAAATAATTAAAAACTCATAATATCCCTTAAACAGTGCAGTAATTTTTATCACAGGAGAAAAGACAAAATTCATAACATCATGATTGTATAAATTTCATGGTTGAAAAATAATGCTAAACCTTGACTGAAATTTTTGCCATTCTATGAAAGTGTTTTTGAGATGTGCGAGTGTTGGTTGCTTTGTGTATAACAGAGTCAATGCTTTGTTTTATGTTTTTTTTATGTTTTTATGTTTAAATTTATTTTATGTTTAAATTTAAATTTACCTTAAAAGTTTTTATTCATTGAAAACTTAAAAGATTGTGCATTGCCTCAGCCAGTGAGTTTTTTTTTTTTTTTTTTTTTTTTTATTCTATTTAATAATTAACAGTTTTTGAATTTGTACTGTTTTGTAATTAACATTGCTGCAGTTAGCAAATTTCTTAATTGATATTTCAGGATTACCACCTGGAAAATCCGAAAAATGAAAATAGATCAGGGAAAGTCAGTGAAAATATGAATTTTTTTTAAAAAGTCAAGGAAAATTAGAATTAAGACCAGAATGTCTGAAAAGTTAAAAAAAGTGTAGATTAGTCATCTCAAATTAATAAAATGCCTATGTTTTTAATAATTATCTGCTTGTTAGGCTATCTGCCTGAAATAGTAATTATAAAAATAAAAAATATATAAAGCTTTTAATGAACCCATCTACTATAATTTTATAAAAATATTTAATATTTATAATTAGACATCTCATGATTTATTTTTTATTTAAATTAATCCGATTAAAAACATGTCTACAGACAGATAGATGTAGATACATACAAAATCTATTTACAGATTCTTCATTGTTTAACAACAGAGATGTAACTAATAAACAAAAATTGTCTGTGTTAGTAATGAAATAAGTGAAGAGTTACCATACTCTTAAGTGTCTTAGTCTCTGTGTAAAATATTATACTGAGCTCATGTCTGATATTGTATTATTTATTATCCACAACACTTCTCTCTACTTGTTATTGTCTTTCTATTGTTCTCTCTATTTTTAATGTAATTGTTCCCTCGCCCATTTTTTTTAAATGTCTTTCAAAGAAATATAGTGTAATTTCACTGTATTGTGTAATTATATATTGCAATAGATAACCATATTATTTTAAACTTTTCTAATCCAGTTTAATTCCTAGCTTCTCAATTTTATTTTCAAATCCTACAGAAGTAATATTTATTATGAATGATGTACTGTTATAAACTAGTTTTGCAATGCAAACTGTTTTTTCCAACATTAGAACTTTTTGTATTACCCCATATGGAAACTATTTAGCAGGAGATAAATGGAAATACAGTCGAAAGTCGTTAATCCGGACTCGTCGGGACTTCGGCGATTCCGGATTATCGATTTTTCCGGATTATAGATCATCAGTTTAAATCTCGTAAGATGGCATGCAGAAATTCTAAAATTAAAAATATGAAACCGTAATTTATGAAATAAAGAACAATTATGATCTAAGGGTAGGGTATCAAAATTTTTCAAAAAGAAAAAGCTTAATATTTATTTGTTTACTTTATTAAACATTTCTTTCAATGTAAGTTGTTTAAGTTTTGCTTTGTTTCATATGATAATACTTTCTCTTTAATTCTATTAAACAGACATAATTTCTTGTTCAGTTACAAAGTTCCGCTGTTCAAGTCCTATAATTGCTGTGTCTAGAACACCGATTAATTTGTCAATCGAAATTTTTTCGTTTTCAATAACCTCTGTCACTTTCTTCGCTATCGATAGCGACTTTTAATGACGAGGAACTTGTTTTAAATCATATCAAAGACGGAGCATATCGAGATGAAATACTACATTTGGTAAGGAATTATAAGCCAAATAAAATAAAAACATCTGCGCTGAAGATAAGGATAGTGTTGACAGATCAACTTCCAATTCATTACGCGCCCGCCGCGGCGATCCCCCCACCGCACAGCGTGAAATTGATAAACAGATTTCGGATTTCAAAACATACTTTCGCTTTAGATCCTTTACATATTAACAAATATATATCGGAAATTCTATTTGATATAATCGAAAGTTTAAGCTTACTTTTATAAAATTGCTCTTACAGTCTGCAAAAAATAATAAGCCGGATCCAATTCGAAAATTAAGGAACCACGCAATCATCAACATTAACTGAAATAGATAATTAGATAATTTTAGCTTATACGTCCATTATACATAAAACGCGCATGCGAAAACGTATTCTGCACTTGCGCACACTCATATGCGCAGTCGTAAAAGGTCTTACGCGCACGCGTAAACGCCTATGCGCATGTGTCAACGCGGCGCATGCGCAGAAAGTTTTTAGTCTTGAGGTCCGGATTATAGATCATTCCGAATTATGGGTGTCCGAATTAACGACTTTTGACTGTACATTGTGATTTTCGAAGAAGCATGGGTTTACATAAATGATTGCTACTAAGTATATTTTTTTACGAAAAATGAAGAGAAAAAAATTACAAACCTTATTCCGTAATGCAAAGAAAGTTTGAATAAGGGGTTTCTGTTTGTCTCAGAGTTCTTTTACACTGGAAGAATTAAAAATAAGAAAAATGGAGGGAGAGATGTTCAAATCAACTCTATGTACTATCAAGTGAAAGTTTTGCATCCAATATTTACAGAAGCCATTCCATTTCTTTATCCCAGTGACTTTCAGAGAGTGAAACTTTATCAAGACAAAGCAACAAGTTGTACTTCAAAATGTACCACTGCATTCCTTGAAAAAATGAATACTGATACAGTTATTACATACTCTTTCAGTGTATTCCTGCGAAGTCCCCTCACTTTTCACCTGCAGACTATTGTGCCTTTGGTCTCTTGAAAAAAAGTTTTTTTTATACCCACCATAATTGATGGACTGGAAAGTAGTGGAAGAGGAATGGAAATCAGTATCTCTGGAAATTTTATGAAAAGCCCTTCTATTGCAGAAATCTAGATGCAAATTTATAATCCAGAAAAAAAAAAAGGCTATCAAATCGAACATTTAAAAAAATATATTCTTTACATTTTAAACATTTATTAAAGAGCCCTGAAATCATTCCAAAAATGTATAAATGCCATATGTAGGTAAATTTTAATGCATGTGCACATATATGTATCTAAATAAATTTAAATACAGATCAAACATGATGTAAAATAATGTAAATTGGTTTATAATGTGTGAGACTTTTGTATTACTATAATCATACAAGTATATTAATTCCACAGCATTCATAGCATATTTATTCAAACACTTTCTAAATCGATACCTTGTAACCCTTAAAATATAGTAAAAGCTGAGATGATTTGGTTGAGGTACAAGCTTCTCATTCTACTACAAACTCGTGCAGATTTACTTGCTTTCAACAATGTCTTTCATGTACATCATTTTGTCCTTTTCTTTCACACAAATGCATACTTTCTCTATATTTCTGTGCAATACAACCCACCCACTTTCATACATCAGTCTAACATAGCTTTCTTCCCTTATTATCTCCAAAATCATAGAAAAAAGTAGTTGTATTACCAAGTACCAAGATTTAGTACTTAAAATATCTGCAGAAAACATTAAAATCATAACTGTTTCAGGTAAAATTTTTATCCATAAGAAAGATTACAATCATTGAACAAATTCAAATCAAACATCTATGCAGTTTAATTTAAAATATATTAAATTGTTTTAATTAAACTGCATAAGCAGTTTAATTTAAAATATATTAAATTGTATTAATTAAACTGCATAAATTAAAAATTTCTGTGTTTTAAGTATCTTTTCCTCTCAAAACGGGTTGCCCTGTTGATCATTTAGCTATCAGTAGCATCACCATCAGAGATGGTAAGTTTTCTTCGAGGGGGAAAAAAAAAAAAAAAAAAAAAAAAAAAAAACACTGGTCAGAAAAAATTAACTAATTGTTTAATTTTTTCATAATTATATTATTATGTTTGTCTTTTATTCATATGAAGTACTGTTACATTACTATTTTGTATATTTTAATTTTCTGTATGATTTAACTATCATCTGTATGCTTTCATTAACCTTTATGGGTAATATGTACACATATCAAATTGAAACTTAAAGTTGAAGAAAACAATATGTATTGCAAGCTGCAGTCTAAAAATAAGCTTTAATACTGATCAGAGATGACATAAAAGAATGAAAATTTAGTAGTTCATATTATGAGATTTTTACATCACTGGAAGCATACAAATGAAGGTTGATAAAATAATTTGCTTTATTATTATGATGGTAATTTTACTGTTGACCTACATGGAAGAAATCCAGCCTTTACCATATCAAAATTCTTAACCCCTTCCCATCTCTGTAATTGGTCTAAAGTATCTGTCAATCATTAATCAAATACCCTAAACTCAAAGAGATTAAAACTGCATGTATGATCTCGCATATACTTTCCTCTCTTAACACCAAGAGCTTCAGAACATAAGGATTACCAATGTCGGTACGTTCGTAGCTCAAAATTGTTTTCCCCAAGCCTACACTGCATTCCACCCTAAAAGGATGTTGTACGGAACTTTTTCATTATATTTTGTTTTAAATATCAAATATATAACCTAATTATAAGTTTTAAAGATCTATGTGTTCATCCTATGTATGCAAAGTTGCATTCAGAAGGAATTTTATGAATGAAGGTCCAGTATTCTATCTTTCATAACTAATAGTTTGATTTCATTGATAGGATTAAAAAAGTCATATTTCAAACATTTAATAAAGAGACGGCTGAAGATGTTTTTCTACCATGAGCATCACATGTAAGAAAGATCTTTCTAGAGCTTCATGTCCTTCTAATTTAAAAGTTTGAAATAAGAACATTTCTATTGCTACCACATATTTGCCCTTCCTCCCTAAATTCAGGCATAACCTTTCTTATATTTTTCAATTAAGAACTTATTTAGTTTTAAATTGCTTAAAATTATCTCTTCATAATATCATAATTGTGATACAGTTCTAATATATGAAAATATTTGATCAAATATAGTGAAACCTCTCGCATTGATCATAAACCTAATACAAGCCTTTTAAAGTGGCCAATAAGTCAGAGAACATAAACAAACATCATCTCCGTAATATCACCTTCTCAGAAAATCAAAATCATTTGGATGATATGTGATAATTTTAGGGAGGTTTCACTGTATAATTTGAAAATGCTATTAAAGCAGTCTGTATAGTTCTTTTTTAAATTTATAGGCAATACTGAATTTCTGTGAAGGCTTCAACGTTCCAATCACAATCAAATGTCAAGCTGGAGGAAAGTGAGTACTTTCTATTCATAATGGTATTTTTATAAATATCTGAAAATTTTGTCTTAAAAATATAATTGAAATAGATAAAAAATGTGTTAAAAATTAAGACAAATGTTAAAGAATCTTTAAATTTATTAGTTTTGAGGTACAATAAACCCTTGCCATGGAGTTATGTCATAAATACGTTTCATATATGGGAAAATCATGTTCCGCAAAGTTAGTTCCCTGTAGAAAAATCTGGTTATGTATAATTCAGATTAAAAAAAGTATGTATTTGGTGGTAAGTATAAAACCTCTACATTTGGATGCAGTGTTGTGAGTGCCTTGGACCATTAGGAGAACTTTTAAGCTCAGGTTTTGTTTTTTTCTAAGTGATATTTGATTTCTTAATGGATGAATTTTCAAACCAGTCTTAAAAATGGCTATTGCAACCAGGGCTGTGGAGTCGGGTAGATTTTTTGGGTAAAAGGAGTCGGTGTTGGAGTCACTAAAAAACATGTCGACTCCGACTCCAGTTTTTGTTGGACATTTTGAATTTGAAATGAAATTAAAGTGAATTGAAAAAAAAAAAATTAATGACAAACTGAGTTAGTATTTTTATTTATGAACTATATACATTAATAAATAGTTATTTTCTATTTTATTGACATATTAGTAAATAAATATAAGGGAGTAGGATGGATGTGATATTTGCCATTATTGATTAAACTGATTCATTTAGTTACTAATCTCATTGGTGAATTGAGGTAAGCAGGAAGAACTCCCAAAATTGATGCCATTCTTAGGAAGTGAGCAGGAAAAGGAGCAACGCAATGCAGAAGTACATATCTGATGATATAGTGTTTGTTAGGATTAAGAACTTTTTTCAGAAGATGTAAATAACCCTAATATTTCACTAACAGAAAGACTGTGGAGTGATCTTGCAGAACTGGAAATCCTTCTTTCAACACCATATATAGCCACCAAAAAGCTACTATCTGAAGAATTCACAAGAGGCAAGACTGGAAAAATGCGATGTTTGTTCTTTCTGAAATGGAGGAAGGAATCATTTTTTCAATGAAGAAATGAGAAACTGGTTTGTTAGACAATAAGTTCGCACTGGGTTCAATATATGTAGATAGAAAAGACTGAATTTTGTTGGATGACAAACAAATTTAAAAGGCAAAGAAAGCCGTCAATGAACTTTCATTAAGAATGAAATTATTCTCAGAACAACTGGAATATTCAAATCAGGACAGTCAAACTGCAGATAATGCAATTGAATCTCTATCGTCTTCTTTCAGTGATGAATTAGATTTTGAGAAATGGTTTTGGATAATATTGAAAAGGCTAAGGCAAAGCGAAGGAAAATAAAGAACCAAGAGCCTTTAGATATAAAAATAAAAAAATACAAACAAGATTTATACACGGCCTTTGAAGATATAAATAAATATGATTGCTCTTACAAGACACCTGTTTTAGAACTTATAAAATTCTAGCCTGAAAAGTTAAAAAAAGTAGCACTAACAGTAACAGCTCTTCCTCCTACTCAAGACAGTGTGGAAAGACTCTTCTCAGCTCTCACGTTCATCAAATTGGATCCATGGTCCTTCATCAAAGATCTTGCTGATGCTACACTGTATCTTAGAAATTATTAATGCCAGTTCTTCCATTTCATAATAAATGCTAATTAATATAAAAAATTTGCTAGGCATTAATTTTTATCTGTAGCATCTACTACTTCTTTTATATTAAAAAAATAAGCTGTACCCATGCTTATATGTTTACATATATGTGAAGGAGTCGGAGTCATTAAAATTCCAGGAGTCGGAGACAGTCATTTTCCCTACCGAGTCCACAGCCCTGATTGCAACACGGCCAGCACTCTGTAACGTACCGCATATAATTGAAATTCTCTCATTGCACAAATTAAATGGAAAAAAATTAAGAAATGGCATATACGTGAAATTACATTCTGCAAGTCTGCGTTCAGCAAGGGTTTATTGTATTCTAATCATTTTCAATAACCATCATTAAGTTGTTGGATTTTGAGAATAAATTTCTACTTGATGAGCCTAGTGTGGACCCTGCAATGAATTCTCATGGATTTAATGGTTAATGCAATCACTTTTGTCATCAGTGTGAAAAATTCATGTCATGCATATTACATCTATCATCATACTTGGAAATATGACATGTTTTATTCACATATTACTTCTGTCATCAGTCTTGGAAATAAGATTTTAATATGCATTCATATTGTTACCATCAATCTGAGAAGCATGATTCATCCCTGTATTCATATTATTAGTCTTGGAAGCTTGATTTCCACCTGCGTATATGTTACTTCTGTATGTTATTCTACCTTCGATTTCTACCTGCAACGATCTTATATATATATATACACACACAGGGTAATTAAAATTCCACTGTAGCTGTAAAAAAAGAACAACTGCTCAGAATGACCTGAATATATGTGAAGCACTGGAGATTTGTCTGGTGAAAGAAAAAAAAATAAATCAAAATTTTATCAAAATAAAAATCTGTTTTAAACTGTCTGTAGACCAGAAACCACATAAAAAGAAATCGGTGATTTGGTTTTAATGGCCTATAGACCTTCTTAAGAAATGTTCGACATGCCGTCCACCATTTTCCATCATGAGCTGAAATTGTAAAATAGCCTGTTTCATGACAAGGTGCATCTGTGCTGATATTGTGAATGTGGTGCATAATTTGTGTCTTCAGTTTAGCTAATTGCACCACTGTGAATGACATTTTTCAGGTAATCCCAAAGCCAGATGTTACAAGGATTAAGGTGGGGGTGATCATAGTGGTGATGCTGTTGGAAAATGATGGCTGATAATTATGTCATTTCTGAAATGGTAAGTAGTGGCTTACACAACATATTCATCTTGCAATGTGTTGAGGAGCATCAACTTGCATAAAAATTGTGCTACCCACACACGCTATAAAGTGCTGAAATGGTATGGTTGTGCAAGAGATTCATACTGTTTGCCATTGACAATATAGGTAACAGACCCCCAGTATCTGCTGGAAAAAGAATAGACCAATAAGAAACATTGTCATAAATCTACTCCACATATTGACCTTTTCAAAGGCTGAGGCGATTGCTGTGGTGAGAATACATTATACTTTGTCCACATTTCTGAATTTTGAATACAGAGGCTGTTTGTACACAATTTTCATTGCAATTACAGAAATATTCTATCTATAATTTTTATATTTCAAATGTTCTATTAGATAACCCTTATTCTTCACTATCTTTATACAATGTAATTTCTAAGGCAATAAAGGCTTATCGGAAGGGGTATTTTATCCCATTGCCTTCGAACAACTTTCCTAAGGAAATTCTAAGTTGATGTTTGAATAACCTGCTTTTCTGAAAGAAAAAAGTCTGAAAGAACAAAAAAAAAAATTGGATGAGGAAATTTAGTAGGGGTATAACCGTAATACTAGTGAATTACTATAATTAGTAGCGAAGTATGACCTTGATACTTGTTTCATTTTTTATGGGAAATTATCAGTAGATTTGGATGTGTCGCTACTTGATTTGTCTTGATGCAGTTCTATTGATTGATGGCAGTGTGTGTGTAACGTGAAGGTATTTCATATTTGAAAATTGGGCATAAAACATGTTTCTGATCATACATGGAGTTGATCTTTATATATTATCTATCATATGATCACATCACATACATTTTTCTCCATTCTCTTTATTTTTTAATTTGCAATTATATGAAAAACCAGCAACAATCATACATCTCTAAGAAAAAAAAACTTTTTTGAGATTCCTTGAACCATGTTTTAAGATTTTTCTCCTCTTTGATGATAATAAATGGATCTGTCTCCCCCCCCAGTCATTATATATACTCAAGATTAACCTACTGTGACAACATTTTTTCCATTTTTGCCCGGATAAACATTTCTCATAAAGAATTCCGCAGCATGTTTTGCATTTCGGAGATATGCCATGGAAAAAGATGATACACATTATGTTTTTTCACCTTTTTAAGATTCAAATCACTCTAAATGAATCACTTTGTTTACAGTTGATACTGAGCATTTTAATGATTTTGCAGTTGTCCTTTGAGTTGGCAGATTTTCTTTTAACATTACTTTACAACTTTTAACATTTTTTCTCCCTTGGATACGTATTTGGAACAATTTTTCCTTTTGAGGCTAAATTTTGACGCTTTTTTCCTTTATTGTTAACAACTTCTTTAAAAGTGACATTTGCCTGAAAACAAAACTGTCAAGTAGCAGGTGATAATTTATACTTTCAAAAATATAGTTGCAGTCAAAAAAAAAATCCAAGCAGAAGTTTTTTTTTTTTTTTCTTACAGGAAAGCAAAATCATGTAAAAAAGGTGCAGACAGCCTCTGTATTAAAAGAACCTTGCAGCTGGAAATGAACTTCAACCATCTACAAACTGTTCCATGGCCATGCATTTTGTACTTCGATCAAAGCAAGAAATTGTTTTTCATGTTGGCAGGTCACTGGGATTCCTGTACCATGTGTAATTTTGAATGAATAGCATTGAAGGATTAATTTTATTAACCATGCGGATAGGCATGTCTAAAAGTCTGGCTATTCACCTTGCACTGCATGTTCCCATACCACTACTCAACTTTTCTTGCACTGCTTTAGCCATATCTTCTATTGACATCAAAACAACGGCTTTCCTCCCTCTTCCAGATCTCATGTTAAATGAATCGGTCTCTTCAAAATAATGAATCACCTTCCACAAACCCTTGATAGACATTGGACCAGAGCCATGTCTTAAACCCATTAATGTCTGGAACTTCTCCAAGGCAGCTGACACAGAGTAAAAATGCTTCACAAGCAGAACCCAATTATTCATTGATAGAATTCCCATTATTCTGAGATGCAGAATAGTGGGAACTGTATGCACCCAGTGTTTTTATTATAAATGCAATGTGTGGTGTGCATGTCTTTTTTTTTTTTTTTTTTTTTTTTTAATTAGCATATCATGACAAATACAATGCCAT